ATACCTACCTAAAAGAGTGGAGGATTAAAAGACAAAAGTTTATGACATCTGGCCCAAAATAAACATTCACTATTAATTAGTATTATTATTATTTGGCAAGAATTATCTTCATTTACAGATTAAACAAACAGAGTCTCAGAAGTTAAAAAACTTCCCAGAACTGGGCCTCAAACCCAAAGTCTGCCTCCAAATTTTGCTTTTTCCATTATGATCAACAATGATCATATGCATGATGATACAGGATCATGTACACCTCTGCCTTTTTTGTGTTTATTTTTGAGAGAGACAAAGAACAAGCTGGAGAGGAGGAGAGGCAGACACAGAATCCAAAGCAGGCTCCACGCTCTAAGCTGTCAACAGAGCCCGATGTGGGCCTCGAATCCAGGGACTGTGAGATGAGGACCTGAGCTGAAGCTGGACACTTAAGCGACTAATCCATCCAGGCACCCCTATCTCTGCCTTTTTAAATAGGTTACTAACTGAAATTTAACAGGTCTTGATTGTGTGGTCACACATTATGGTGCTTTTAATTGTATTTTACATTTTTGTTTTGTTTTGTCTTATCTAATAGTTTAGGGGGAAAGGACTAAATGCATCAATGTGGCACAGAAATAAAGGACACAGGAGAGGATGAGACCCTGTCTCTCACTGTCAGTATGCTTACCTGGGATAGCCTCCCTCCTCTCCATCTGATTTGTTGCTTTTAAAATCGGCTTATGAGGGGGCACCTGGCTAGCTTAGTTTGAGCCCCACGCTGGGTATAGAGGTTACTTAAATACATAAATAAACTTTAAAATCTACTTATGGGGGCGCCTGGGTGGCTTAGTCAGTTAAGCGTCCGACTTTCGCTTAGGTCATGATCTCGCGGTTCATGGGTTCGAGCCCCGCGTCAGGCTCTATGCTGACTGCCAGCCCAGAGCCTGGAGGCTGTTTTAGAGTCTCTGACTCCCTCTCTCTCTGACCCTCCCCTGCTCACGCTGTCTCTCTCTCCTAGAAATAAATAAAACATTAAAATCAATTAATTAATTAATTAAATAAAATCTACTTATGAGCTGGACTCAGACAGGTATATTTGTTTGAAGATGTGCAGAACATGAGTGAGCTCCAAGTGAAAGTCTGAGGTGTTATGCTATTAACTAGGTATTTGAGCTTCCATCATAGTCATGATCTCAGCAAGAAAGACAGCACACTCCAGAGTAAGGAGGGTTTAATAACATGACTAAATAGGTAATAATCACAAGGAATAACTGCAGTATCCTGGGACTAAAGAGAGGACTTTTAAGCCTGAAAAACAAAGGAAATTAAAACTTTGCAAATCCAAAGGAGTGAGTTATATAAAGAACTCTCCTTTAGAGGAATAGCAATCTTCAATCAAGGTACACAGCCAGCCAGGGGCAACACCCATAGGGAGGGAGAGAGCAAGGAAATGAAAATTCCCTAACCTTAGATGAGAAGGAAGCTCTTAATGTAGTTCATATAGGTAAGTCAGCCTCCCAGGGCAGAAAAAAGGCAACAGATGGAAAGTAGGACCTAGAAGAGCAAGTGGAAGGCACCTAATTCAACCTCCAGGAAGTCTTTCAGGTACACTTTCACGTCTCTTCTTTCATGCTAATGGACAAATGCCAGATAAGGAAGGAGGTACTGAACAAGACAATTCTCACCCTTTTTGAATGGTAATGCACAGGGCCTGTCTACCATATTTGTAACCAAGTTGTTCACTAGTAAGTGTGGTCATTTACCATTCTACTTGTAACTGTTCACAATTCTTTGAAGGGCAGATAATTTCCAGACCTTTCTCCAGCCTTAGGGACTTTCCACTTACCTTGTTAGGCAAAATAAGATCAGAAAAATGCTGTAGATACTGTAACTCTCAAGGAGCTTACATTTAGGAGTTTATATTCTTAGATAACTAAGAAGGCAGAATGAGGTAAGTGTCACCGGAGAGAAAAGAGCTGCGGTGCTATGAAAAGTTCTGGAATGGGTTTCCTTGCCATCTGGCCCCTGCCAGAACAACTCCAGCCAGAACTCACTGTTGTCCTATTAATAAGGTATATAAGCTTCAATCAGGTTCCCAGCAGGTCCAGATCTGGAGAACTACCCACTAAGCACTCAATAGGTTCACTCATTCTCCTCCTGGAAAAAGCCCCTCTTCTTAGGCTGGTTCAAATGTTAACTCCTTACCTGAAACTTACTTGGACCCTCAAAGAACCATTAGTTATGCCTACCCTGTATTCCCAAAAGACTTTGCTTGGAGCACTATCATTATCCATGTACAGGTACAAGGCCCCTACTAGTCTGTAAGATCCTAAAGTCTTCTTTGCACCCTCAGGCACAAACAGTATGGAAAATATTATGTCAAGCACAGTATAAGGACTCTACATATATTATCATATGCATTACCATATACATATTATCAATCATCACAAAATTGTAAATGAGGTAGGGGATTTCATCAACTCAATTTTACAGATGAGGAAAATAAAGTGCACAAAAAGGTTAAATAACGTGCCCAAAGTATCAAAGCTAATAGGGCTTTGGACCCCAAGATTTCAACATCAACGTAACTCCAGAACTGAATTTCAACAGATCTCATGGGTTAAGAAGAAGGTCCCACTACAGGAACAATGGTCCCCACGCCAAGATGCCCAATTATTATTCACCAGGATGTGAAAAGACAATATCAGAACGTCTACGCATATTTGTTTTAGCTCATCCTTTTGCAAAATGTCTATTTTTGCATGTTATAAAATGTACCTAACATAGACTACAGTTAGCACTGTAATTCTAACTTAAAACATTCACATGTATGTGCATGTTCTTTAGAAAGAACACTAAAAACATTTTAGGCCAATGCTCTAGACTACTACTTCCCTGCTTCCAAGGACTCTGAGCTTCTACCTTCTCTTCCCACCACTTCAGTTAAAAACATTAGCCAATCAAGCCTAGAGGTAAGCTAGAGGCAAGAGTTTGCTTTTATTCATCTTTATAAGCACAGGCTTATATCACAAGCTGATATCCTTCATCAGCACAGGGCCTGGAGCTTAGCAGATGGTCAGTGCTGAATCTAACTATATCATGGAAACCTCACAGAAAAAAATCCTCTCAATATTTTAATTCAATTTACTATATGCTTCCAGATTAAAAGAAAAAGTGTATTAAGCATGCTAAGGATACAATATAGAATTCTTAGGAACACTAACACAGGGGCGCCTGGGTGGCTTAGTCGGTTAAGCGTCCGACTTTCGCTTAGGTCATGATCTCGCGGTTCGTGGGTTCGAGCCCCGCGTCGGGCTCTGTGCTGACTGCCGGCTCAGAGCCTGGAGCCTGTTTCAGTCTGTGACTCCCTCTCTCTCTGACCCTCCCCTGCTCACGCTGTCTCTCTCTCTCTCTCTCTCTTCTAGAAATAAATAAAAACCTTAAAAAAAAATTAAAAAAAAAAAAAAAAAGGAACACTAACACAAAGAAACAAAACTTCATTACATAATAGAACTAAAAATTGTACTTTGGGACATATTTTAAACTGCAAATTGCCTGAAAGAGATTTGGACATAAAACATTTAAGTTCAGATTAAAACTCCTCTCATTTTACAGAGATGGTGCAGCTAAGCCTAAAGGGTCACCTCTGCCTCACTTTTGTTATAAGCTCCAAGAAGAACGGATCAAACTATCAAAAGTCGTGATTTCCGGCTTGACTACCAAGAGGCATTGCTGGATGCACCCTTTTCATTTCTTCAAACCAACTTCTAATGAGTGTCAAAGAAGAGAAAGCTGTGTAAAGTCCCCTTTTTTGTGAAGGATGTGGGCTCTATGGCTAGATCACAGTGTTCCTTCTGTTCCTCAGTTTCATCCTCTGCAAAATGGTCATACTGAAATACTTAACTCTTATTTACAGTCACCAGGATTAAATGAAGAGAAAACATGCAAAACAGATTTATCTGTTTCCTCATTTACCTTGTCTTCCCCTACCCCAAACTTTAAAGACTCAGTTTGGTCCATCTAGTTTGTTGCTATATTCCCAAGGCTGGGAATGGCACTTTTTATTTAATAGATGATTTAATAAATACTGAATGAATAGAATGCAAAATGCCTGCGGCTCAAAGAACGTTGACTAGCACTGCTATTGTAACGAGAAATAGTTAAAAATTTTATTGCGTTATTAAGAGATACCAGAATCTCAAAATTCTAGGAGGAACACTCGACAAACGCTGGAATGGAGAAATGGAGGTAAGAAAAACAAGTGGATCATAAAGCAGGACTAAGCTAAGAGAAAAATTCTAAAACATATACACAACTAGAGCCCAATTTCGGCCTTTTCCGAGTGAGGTTTATCAGCGATTACGGTAATAACAGCTTTCACGTTCGTGTATGTCCCAGTCTGTGCCAAGCATTCTACTGGCCTCACAAATCCAAGAACCCTGACGGAGGGGTGGGGGTGGGGATGTGGAAATGCTCTCCACACCCCCATTTTGCAGAATGGAACTGAGGCTTCGTAAGACCCAAGGTCACACATCCCTTGAGTTGGGGAGTCAGGATGTGAACCCGGGAAGTCAGTCTGATCCCTGAGCCTGCACTCAACAGGCCCCCTCAAAGAGGCCGTCCTCGCCTCCCCCACCATCCGCCGCACACCCCTCGAAATTGGGCGTGTGGAATACTTTCCCAGAAACAAGACTTAGTGGCCTCAGCACCGGGAGAACAAAACAATCCTTGTCCGCGAGTAAGTCGGATGGACGCCGGCCCGGCCTGGGCTCCGAGGCCGCGGTCCCCCAGCTTCGTTCGCATGGCGAGCTCCGAGCCCTCCGGGCCACGCAGGAAGCGCCCGGGCGGCCTCGAGAACCCGGGAAGGCGCGGCCCGCCGCGTGACCTTGGATCCGCCGCCCTGCTTCGGGCCTCAGTTTCCCCAATCTGGCCTGGCGCCGGGGGCCTCTCGGGAGCTGGCGCCTGTGGAGCAGCAGGCCCCTTCACACGCCCCCCTCAGCCTCCCGCCTTCCCGCCCTGCTTACGCTGGAAGGCGGCCGCTCCAGGGACGCCCACCATCGCCAAGCGACTCCGCCGCGCGCCTCCCGCCTCCACCCCGCGGCCCGGGTCCCTCCGAGACGCCGCCGCGAGACCTGGAGCAGCGAAGCTCGCCAGCCCCAGCTCCGCCGCTGCTGCTGCCGCCAACGCTGCCGTTAGGCCGCGCGCCGCCCCGCCCCCCGGTTGGCTCCGCCCCGCCCGCCGGGCACGCCCCCGCCGCGCGCCCTCGCCCGCCGGACCAACGCACACGGAAGCCCGGCCCCAAGGCCTGCTCCAGATAAGCCCCGCCCCTTCCGCGCGAACATACTGCCCTATCCTGGCCCTTCCAGCTTCTCAGGCCCGCCTCTCCTGTGTCACGCGCGCCCGTCACGCGCAAGGCCCACTCGTCTGGCACTGGGCTTCCGGCTGTGGCCGGGGCAGCGACCCAGTCCGAGAGGCGGAGGCAAGGGCCTAGGGGGTGGAGCTTAGGGGGGAGGGGACAGCGCCGCACCTGAGTTCTCCAGGTTGAGGCCTGGTCACCCCGAACAAGTCATTGGGTAAGTCATTTACCCCTTCTGGCCTATCCTGTTCCAAATGTCTAGGATGTCATCACAATATTAATAACCCTTTGCTGTAATACCGCTGTATTACTGAGCTCTTCATCATCTTCAGGTGCTACTTTTATACACCCATTCAGTTAATCCTCACAACGAGGGAGAAAGGTATTAGTTTCCCTTTTCTATACTTGGAGAAAGGGGTTTACCAGCCACCAACTTGCCCACTGGTTACTGTTGGCATAACGCAGAGATGAGATTGGAACCTAGAAACTTCTGACTTTAGACCCAGTTCTTTGAGGTACTCTGAACTATGCTGCCTCCCAAAGAATCAAAAACAGGAATTAAAATTAAAACATTAAAAATTCCAAACTCCTCCATGTACGAAGACATCATAAATAGTTTGGTTTCTTTTACAAGCAAAAGACTGGAATAAAATATTTGCAACGTAATCAACAAAGAATCAATATTCAGAATAAGTAAAGAACTATAAACCAATAAGAAAAGATAACTTAATAGAAAAATGGTTAGGATACCTAGATGGCTCAATCAGGAGAGCATGCAACTCTTGATCTCAGGATTGTGAGTGTGAACCCCACGTTGGGCATAGAGATTACTTTAAAATAAAATAAAGAAAAATGGACAAAGAGGATGAATAAATAATACACAGAAAAGAAAATCTGAATGGCTAATAAACATTAAAAGTAGATGTTCAGGGGCGTCTGGGTGGCTCCGTGGATTAAGTGTGTACTCCATTTCAGCTCAGGTCATGATCTCATGGTTTCATGAGCTCTAGCCCCACACTGGACTCTGTGCTGACAGCGCAGAAACTGTTTGGGATTCTCTCTCCCTCTCTCTTTGCTCTTCCCCCACTCATGCTACCTCTCAAAATAAACTTTAAAAAAAAGTTGTATAAAAAAAAGCAGATGTTCAACCTCATGGTCAGGAAAACAAGGAGTTGCTCTGTTTCATACATTAGAATTGGAAATTCTTGGGGCACCTGGGTGGCTCAGTCGGTTAAGCTCAGGTCATGATCTCAGTTCGTAAGTTTGAGCCCCACGTCGGTCTCTGTGCTGACAGCTAGCTCAGAGCCTGGAGCCTGTCGTTGGATTCTGTATCTCCCTGTCTATCTGACCCTCCCCTGCTGGTGCTCTCTCTGACTCTCAAAAATAAATGAAAAACATAAAAAAAAAAATTAAAAAAGAATTGGAAATTCCATTTGTGGGTCTCCATCCCAAAGAAATACTTGCTAATGGCACAAAAAGATCCGTAGGAAGGAAATTTATATCAGAATTATTTACAAGAACAAAAATCAAAATTGGCTTGAGTGCCCTACATGGAGAATTAGTGAAATAAACTGTAGAAAATAATATGTAACATGTAGGTAGATCTACTTGTAAAGAAAAGTTTGGGGGTGCCTGGGTGACTCAGTTGAGCATCTGACTTTGGCTCCGGTCACAATCTCAGTTTATGGGTTGGAGGCCCACATCAGGCTCTGTGCTGACAGCTCAGCTTGAGATTCTGTGTCTCCCTCTCTCTCTGCCCTTTACTACTCATACTCTGTCTCTCTCTCTCTCTCTCAAAGATGAATAAACATTAAAAAATAAAAAAAGAAAAGAAAAGTTTGGGGTGCCTGGGTGGCTCAGTCGGTTAAGTGTCTGACTTCGGCTTAGGTCATGATCTCACAGTTCATGAGTTCAAGCCCCACATCGGGCTCTGTGCTGACAGCTTAGAGCCTGGAGTCGGCTTCAAATTCTGTGTCTCCGTCTCTCTCTGCCCTTCCCCTGCTCACGCTCTGTCCCTCTGTCTCTCAAAAATAAACAAACATTAAAAAAAAAAAAGTTTACCAACACATATTGTGAACTGGAAAAGCAAACTGGAGTTCCATGAAGTTATTCTTTTGCTTTACTTCCAAGTTTGGGATAATTGGATAATTTTCAACACCTACATATTCCATATCCTCTAAAATGGTGTTAAATTGAAGAGCCCACACACCAGAGCCTGGATATACATCATGGCTCCACATTTACCATCTAACCTCAGACAAATCATTTCATCTTTCTTGAGTCTCAGCAAGTGGTTCCTGATAGCTTACAAGATTGTTGCATGAAAAACACAGTGCCTGGTACATTTTTTAAATGTTGCAATTATTATTAGATGCACTTGTTTTTTGTTTTATTTCCCTTCCTACCTGCTGTCTCCACACCTCCCACTCCCAGTCTCTATCCTTCATACTTTGAGGTTGCTAGTACATAGTAGGTGCTCAAAAAAATTCCATTACTGGGGCACTTGCCTGGCTCATGTGGTAGAGCATGTGACTCTTAATCTCAGGGTCCTAAATTCAAGCCCCACATCGGACATGGAGCCGACTTAAAAAAAATTTTTTTTGAGAGAGAGAGAGAGAGAGAGAGGGAAGCAGAGAGAGGGAGAGAATCCCAAGCAGGATCTGCACTGCAGAGTGCAGAACCCAATGTGGAGCTCAAACTCAAAAACCGTAAGATTATGACCTGAGCTGAAATCAGGAGTCCAATGCTTAACCTACTAAGCCATTCAAGTGCCCCCCCCATTTTTAAAATTTGATTACCATTTGAATCTTGGTATATACTGCCTTGCCTTCTCTTAGCACTTGGCCATCTGGGATAGAGTGACTATGCAACATTTTTAATATTTTTATGACACAGACATTTAAGAAATGCTTGCTCAATTAAGTCTGGGAGGAAGCAAGGAAGAAAGGAAGATAATTAACTGCCCAAGACCATATACTATAAATTGGTTGCCCAGAGAGGCTGCACAAAGAATGTTTTGTCATCATGTTCAGCCCAACAAGCAGGAATCCATCCATCAAACATTTAGTGAGAAACTAGTCCCTAATTCAGTGCTTCTCAAAATCATTTGAAGCAAAATATTGATTTAGAAACCCATACTCAGGGACCCTGCTGATCAGGAAGATTCCAGGACTGGAACAGCAAGTGGGCTGCCCTCTAGAGGTGGAGGAAAAGAACAATGCCTTCCACTTCTGAAGACTATTGTCCTGCCTTGCCTAGCCAGACCTGGCTTACTTCTGTGGCCACATCTCCGTCACTGTCATGCTGGCCAGACAGGCCTATTGAGACCCAGCATATGCCTGAACTCTGAGCCTCAACCGTGGGAGCCATGCTCCTCCTCCCATACAACCACCCCCCACTTTACTCCTACATACTCTTGAGGTATCAGCTCATTTGGTACTCCCTCAGAGAAGTCCTCTCTAACCCTCCAGACTTATCAGAACTCCTTATATGCACTCCTACAATACCATGCACCTCTTCTCCGTGGCATATAACCTATTTGTCATTTATTTTCTCCATTTCTGAATTACTAGCCATCATTCTCTGTAGACCACGAGCTCTGTAAAAACTTTGTGTTTTCCACCATTATATCTTCAGTGCCTGGGACAGAGTTGGAACTCCAAAAATATCTGTTAAATAAATAAGGGAAATATTAAAGTAGAGATAGACACAGGGGCTATGAGACTGCAAATAACAGTCTTTCTAGTCTCCCCTTTAACCCCTCCCATCACATACTGTTGGGGGGTGATAGAAGTATATTCAAGGAAGGAAAGAATTAATTTATTCATTGAAAAATATTTATCAAGCACTTATCTTGTGCTAAGTCTTGTGCTAGAATAAAGTAGTCAATAAGATAACGCTGCTACCCACATGCAGCTTAGTCTATGGAAACAGACAAGTAGAAGTATAACTTAATGTGAAAAACAGAGTGAGAGAGAGAGATGGTTCAAGAAGCATGAGGATTATCATTTTACAGTGGTAGGCAGGAAAGCCACTCTGAAATGATATATAAGCTGAGACCAGAGTGAAATGAAGTATCACATCACAGGAATATCTGAGCAATTGTGTTCTAGGTAGGGAGAACAGCAAATACAAAGGCAATGAGTAGGAAATAAACTTCCTGGAAAAAAGGTACAAGGTGATCTGTGTGACTGGACTGAAGCTATGTGGATGAAAGGAAGAATAGTGGGAAATGAGGCCAGGAGCAGAGGCAGAACCAGATACTGCAGGGCTTTGGCACCCGTGAAAAAGTATGTGAATTTTATTGTAAGACCAGCAGGAGTGTACAGAGTTTGGAGCAGGTTAGTGACCTAACCTGATTACATTTTGAAAATATGTTTTTACTCCTGTGGGGAGAATAGATTATAGGGTTAGGAGGCTGAGGGTTAAGATGTCCAGTGGTGGGCCGCCTGGCTGGTTCAGATGGTAGAGCCTGTGACTCTTGATCTCAGGGTCGTGAGTCTAAGCCCCATGTTGGGTGTAGAGCTTATTTTAAAAAAAAAAAATGTGTGGTCCAGTTGGTTGAGCATCTGACTCTTGATTTTGGCTCAGGTCATGATGTCACTGTTCGTGGGTTTGAGCCTTGCATCAGCTCCACTCTAACAGCACAGAGCCTGCTTGGGACTCACCTCTCTCTTTCTCTCTGCCCCTTCTCCTCCTCCTCTCTCTCTTTCAAAATAAATAGACAACAACAACCGGAAAAAAAAAAAAAAAAAAGAAAACTAGAAAGAGAAAGCAAATGAAACCTAGAGCAAGCTGATGATAAGAAATAATAATGAGGGGCGCCTGGGTGGCTTAGTCAGTTAAGCGTCCGACTTTCGCTTAGGTCATGATCTCGCGGTTCGTGGGTTCAAGCCCGGCATCAGGCTCTGTGCTGACTGCCGGCTCAGAGCCTGGAGCCTATTTCAGAGTCTGTATCTCCCTTTCTCTCTGACCCTCCCCTGCTCACGCTCTCTCTCTCTCCTAGAAATAAATAAAAATATTTTTAAAAAATAAATAAAATTAAATAAAATTAAAAAATGAAGGAAGGGGGAAAAAAGAATGAAAAAAGGAACATTAGTATAGACTTTACCAATAGTGAAAGGGTAATAAATAGCAATTTTATGCCTGTAAATCTGGTAACTCAGATGAGATTGACCAATTTCTTAAAAGACTCAACCCACTAAAACTCATTCAAAA